AGCGTATCAACCTCGGTGCATCTTTGTCCCTGACAAGGAGGTCAGAAGATAAGATATCGTCTGAGTAAAGCAACACAGCTACGTTACCTCGACGATAAACACTTGAAATTCTATAATTTTCCACGCTTCTCTGTACCATTAGTTCGTCGGTATACACTAACGGTATCAACGTTACAATAACGATAAAATTATCGGTATCAGATCGACAGAGACCGAAATGTTTGCAGAGGAACAGTCGAAGAAGAGAAAGAGGATGACCGGTCGTTTCTCTGAATGATTGAAACCATTCGGCACCCTTCGTCGGCCGGAAACCGCTTGGCATTCAGCGCGCATCGATTCCGTGGCACGATCAAAGCGTGTGGCCACGGATTAAATTTTTGAATGGGCAACCGTCGCGGCCATGGTGAGGGGAGAGAACGGCGGCGAAAAGAGACCGAAAACACGGCGAATTCGTTTCGTCACGTAGCGAACATCACCGCGGAATAATTCCGCGCAAGAAATTTCCTGCGGGTGGCCCCGTTGGTATGGGGGACGCCGAAACGAGAAAAATCCCTCGGTGTATTAAAGTTTCCGGTTCCCGCCCGAGAGCCGGAGCACGGACGAGAAAAAACTTCGCTAAATAAATGGACGCTATATTAACTGGCCACCCAAGACACCCGAGATGCCGGTTTCCACCCTCTCGTCACACAATAAACTATCATTTTGTGCATTTATCGTGAATGTAGATCTTTTTAATATCTATACCTTTTTAGAACGTATAAATATCAATTAGAAAAATTGAAAAAATGTAACTAATTAAATTCAGAAGAAAAGAATACAGATTTCACCAGAGAATGAATAATATTAATTAAATGAGCATTTCTAACCAATTGCCCGAGAATTGTTTGAATATGAAATAATGAATTGAAAAAAAATCAATGTTTAATTATTTGCTTATTTTAATAATATAATTTACTCGTTTTTATATATAATGTTAAAAACTGGTACGAGTGTATCCACCCAATTTTTGTACCAGACAATTTCTATCGTTTCAAACCGAGCTACTGAATTCCACAAATGCAATGTATGTACATATAGATTATGAAGCCAAGGAACGACAGATAAGATTAACATTTAGAGACAGATAAGGACTATCCAGTCGGGTATAATACGTCTCGGAAAGTGTCCCCGAACGGCTAATTCAGTTTGATCCGACAGTTCGTGTCACGGTCGTCCCTCTCCCTCTCGCACTTTTCGCCTGTAATGGGCTGCGAAGAGTAGATCAGCCCTTCCGGCATCGAATCTTCCTCGGAAGATTACAGCCGCAGGGATTTCGTTGCGTACCGGGGGTCATTAACGGGAAAGTGGCTTGCTCGGAGAGAGTGGATTTCCAGCTTGGAACGAGTCCGTCCGCTTTTACGCGTGTCACCCCTTCTCGAGGGGTGGCTGAAGGTGGAGGACGACGCTGGTAAAGATACCTTGCACGAAGGGCAGTAAAAGAAACGCGGGCTTGAGGGCCGACGAAGAGACGAAGGAAAGAAAAAGCAAGGGGAGGGGGCGGGTAGGGGGGTTGGGAAACAGAAGAACGGGGCGGAGAAGGTCGGTCGTAACGGCGAATAGAACAGCAACATAAAACGTCGCGAGGAAGGCGCGTTGGTCTCCCGCAATTTCCTCGGGATCGACGAACCTACCCCCGTCGGCTTATTAACTTTTATGATAGGGAACGAGTGAGAAGAGGACGGAAACGTGGCAGGGGGGAGATCTTCCGTGGAAAAGAAGCGACGATGCGCCCGTTTGCAGCTCGCGAAAGTATTCCAACCACTACGGACTTTTGTCTCAACACAGGGTTGATTTTACTCAACCCCAAACGCCCTCCTAATCCACCCTGTTGTTCGTACGAGTCATTCCAGGAGCAAACGAAATGTTACGATTACCTAAAATATTCCGTTCGTTCTAGAAAATAAGTCCAAAACGTGCAGATCCTGTTCAATCGACTTAATGTTACGCGGCCTCGCCGAAACAACTGTGCATCCTCTTTTTTTATCTGCAGCCACCGTCTGGCCTCCACCGACGTTTGATCTGCCGGTCCTCTGGTAAACGTTCGAAACCCACACCGTCGCGGCGAAGAGAAAGAAAGAGGAAAACGAAAAGCAAAATTCGTCGGAGCAACGTAGGGCGAACGGAGGAAGAAAAAGGTCCGCTTCAAGGGAGGGAGAAAAAGGGGGAAAGACAGAGAGAGAGACACAGGGAAAATGGAGAGGGTTGCCGAGAGGTCGGTGAGACGCATGACTCCCAAGGGAAATTTAGGTGCGACCTCCATGTATCACGGAACCTGGCCGTAAGTAGGTACGTAACCGACGTACGTACACCGCATACGCGCGCGCGAGCGCGAATTCCACACGTATACACGCGTGAAAATCGGAGAGTGCGCGCGCGCGCGTCCAACTTCCGCCTAAATTCACCGCGAACGATTGATTCACGGATCGAGGAATCGGCGCTGGGTAAATTGCATCGTTCGGATATTCAGGATTTACGACAGCCGCAAAACTGTCGATTCCTGTACAGGGAATCGCGAAAGATTCCGAGACCGTGCAATGTACTCTCGGAGGATTGAGGGATGGTTGGGTTGAAATCTCCTTAGGATACACGATATTACATTCTCATAAACGAAAAAAGTATATACAGAGTGAATCCATAAGGATTACTATCTCAAATAACTCGTTATGACTTGAAGTAGCTTCAGAACCCTCAAATTCGGAAACTTAATCGAGGTTTATATATCGAGGTTCACATCTCTTGTCACTCTCTACCAAACCTCCTTTGACTATCCTCGGTCAACCTTCTCGACCCCCTTGATGGTCATCGAAGACCAAGTCTCAAGGGTCTTGATGGATCTTCTAAGGCTACCGGGAGGAACTGGGCCCTTCAAAGACCAACAATAGTACCTGACTAGTTCTAGAACATACCAACTGAGCCTGGATAATAAATCAACAATCCATAGTCTAGAAAATGATCTCATCCTTAACGGTCCAAGGGATGGAGGTCAATTTTTTATTCCCCTTATGTCGATATATGTACGTTACATCATCCATCAAACGCATCAAGAAAATCGCGTGCATACTTGAATGTCGTTTATCAGCTGACTTTTAATGCCATTGATAGAAATGTTCGTGCATCCGCAGCCCCACTCGTTTATCTCTATTGACAGAACGGGGAAAGGAAAACAGCGGGGCGACGTCATTTCCGAACCGGGGTAAAACTTTCCGTGGCTTTGAGCCTTTGACAAACGGCCGCCCGTAATTGGATTCGTTTTATAAAGTTCCAACGAAACGTGGAGCTTTCTGCTATTAATTGGAGATGGTAAGCGGTGTGCGCTGCCACAGCGACGCCGGTGCGGGACCCGGGGTCGATGAGGTTGATTAATTTGATTCAATTACAAACCGGCGGCGGATTCAGGGCATCGATTTTATTACCATTCTCTTGCCGTCGGGATCTTCCAGGTCGACGTGAAAAAAAAAAAGCGGAGACGACCAGAAGTTCGCTTTATCACCCACCCATCCGTCTTTTGGTTAGTTCGTGGATTCCGTTTTATCCGCCCGAGTTTCTTTGAGAGTACTCTTGAGGATCGGGAAATGTACGCGTATATTTCTTACACCGATGGACCGTAATATTATTATTAGTCAAAGTAGAATATCCACAGGTCGTCGAACCATTTACACTTATACTTTAACGAACCGTTTGCATCCTCGTTTAGGGACTCGAACTCCATCTATCTTATAAGGGTTATAATCTTATGTTTCCCTAGTATTCTGCGAGCGTACTAGATGATGTAAATTGAATACCAAAGCAAGTAGAGAACTCCGACAGCTCAAGGTAAACAACAATCCCCCTAATTGCAACCGAATGTATCTAATGGATCCAGGCGGTCGAAGCAGACGGACGGTACGCTTAATTAATAATTAAACACCTTGGGAAAGGTACCACCCTGTCACCAGACATATCGTACACTTTGATTAAAGTCTAACTACCTCCACGTACCGGCTACATCGCAGAGAACGTAACACTCGTATGCAAGAGAAAAAACATTAATTTTATTAATGCACATCAATTATCAACCAAATGGGTATCTTAGTACGAAAGATTACTCCTTAATTATTAAAAAATATTTCTTCGCTAAAACGTTCATTCTATACACCTCTTATTACATCTAGACGGATTAGTCGGGATTGGAATTGGTGTTACATATTTAGATAGGATACGACTTTAAAAACACTACACGCTTTGGTTCGGCATTTGTAACGTCCAGTTTGTCTTCGAACGCATTCAGTTTTCTGACTAGGTCTCCTACACAAATCACGAACAATCATTTGGATTGTATTATTTCCTAAAACTTGCCCTTTATTGAAGCAGTTCCATAATCATTACTAGTTTTTCCTGAAACTTTGTTTACATTGTAAATAGATTTTACGTACCGTCCAAGCACCTGCCACGTTCAAATGTAACAATTCACACCTGCAGGCCGGCTGCGAACGATAAGTACCAAGCACTATACACTTCATAGATAGGCAAATGTTGCCTGGAACTAAAGGCTTGGACCTTTTACATTACTTTACATGATTTTCTCTAAAAAAAAAATCAAGCCACCCCCCACAGATTGCATGTTAATCTACCTACATGAAAACTCCGCCAGCTTCAACAATCAATTAAACAGGTCATCTACAATGTAAATCTATGTACATCAATAAAAAGATATTTCCCCATCTTCGCATATCCTTACTTTTTCGACTACATTATTGAAACAAATAATATTCTGAAAAACATAAAATGCAAAACGATTGTGCAAGACTGGAATTCGTAGAGGAAAATATTATATCTTTTCCCGAACTAATCGCGAAATAAACTCTTAACACCTAACATTGTAAATACCGTTAAAAATCCAAAAAATGAGTGATACCAAAAACTTTCAACATTAATATAAATTAAAAGTATTATACAACATGTAGTAATTGAACCTAAGGAATTCAAAGCAGTTTAGGTTTATCCACGTATTGCTTGCCATGGTGAATAATGGTTGCGAATGTACCACCTACCATAGCACCCCAAAATAGCATGTATAATAAAATTTCAGTGGTGTATCTCGAAGGGAGAATTATATGAGCCACTAGCATCGATGATGCTACAAGAAGCACCAAGGGGAATGTGGCGTAACGCCAGTTTCGTTCAGATTCCAAAGGACATTGAACCGATGTGCATTCGCCATCTTGCACAATGTAACGACCCAAGAATAGATCTAAAGAATCCTGTAAAATTTGTAACATAAAAATCTCTTCTTAAAGATAGGTAGTCTATGTAATATTGTAGCTATGTACCTGTCTATACCCATCGGTAAAATTATTTTTATAGTATCTTGTTAAAGAGTTCATTCCATCTCTCATGGCACCTAGTTTCGTACGTCTACCAGTTCGCGTGAAATCTGTCTTCAATGCACCAGTGCCTGAGTACTGGATACTTATCACATCTGCATTATCGGCCCAAATCTGCAAGTATTTTGTTAGAATCAATATACGAAAACAACAGATCATAAGCATATAATATGAATGTATTGTTACCCGCTTGAAATGCTCTTCAACATTAGGGTGATCTTCGATTCTCCTAAGGATTTCTAATCTTGATAACGCGTTGTTGAGAATCCTCTTTGCTATCATACTCTGAACAACATTAGTTCTATCAAGACAATCAATACAGTTTGTGCGAAAAACACCATCCTGTGCAGACAATAGCGTTCCATCTTCCAAAAGAAAGAAGTAACCCATTTGTTCCATTTCAGGAGCTAATCTATCAAGTAAAACGTTCAATCGGTCCCATTTTAGTCGTCTACATTCGGCGTGGAAATCAAAACTTTCATATTGAACATTTTGATTGTTAATTTGTTGTACTATATTATGATACGCCTTTTCCAGTGCAGCTTCTGGACCACGTTGATCAATCTGTACAAAAGGCACAACTCGTTAATAATAACGACATTTAGTAAAGATTTAGTTATCCTTCAAGACAATGCCTTACTAAATTAATCAAAATCTGCTTTCCATAGTGAAATATCTGAGCTTCGAAATGCCGAGCACAAGCAGTTTGATGGTCTTCATGGTTACTCAACTGTGGTTTAGGTTTATACTTCAAATTCGGTGCCTGATACCAAAACAAAGGTATAGAGCCGCGTGTTTGTACAAACGATATACGATGTCCATTATATTCGACCAATTGCTCTGTTTCTACGTAGTTAGAAACATTACCAGTAGAATCTATACCACGTGAAAATAATCTAGTTCCTGCACGGTGTACACTGCGTCTAGACACAATGCTCAAATTGAATGATGTACTACCAGTTACAGTAATAGTGTTTAATGACACAACTAAAAAGAAGTATTAAGGAAAGTACAAATCTTATAAAACTTGTAAGGTAGACGTATTCTATAAAATTTGTTGGTTTTAAGGATACATCCATGAATAATAGGCAGGCAAAACTTATACTGCTCTGGTCTTGATGTTAGATCTTGCAGAAGATAAGCATTCCATACAAATCTAAGATCTGCTCTATCATGAAGTGGCATCTATATCGTACAAAACCAATGCACTTCCATTATCAAATAAAAACAATTATTATACATTCACTACAGAAATAATAATAACCTGTAAAAATTCGGGTGGTGTATTATGAAGTCTTTGCATTGTATGGCTAAGATCATATGTATAACTGAAATAGAAATGTGGTGTATTCAATACAGATTTTATCATTTCTAAATATGTAGCATTGTTTTGCAGTTGCTTTTCACTAAGATGCAAAGAAGATTTTGTATATGGTATAACTTCTGTAGCAACTATTTTATAAATTAGATGGCCAGCTATAGTTCCAATCTCTGTGGCTTCAGTGATGACTATAAGGTAACGACATGCTAACAACCTTATAGTGCCTATTATACCCCATATTTTTCTACGGCTTGCACTTGATGGAATCTGACTGGCAGTACCAGCTGCAATAAAAAGTATTCTTCTTATAGACATAAATTCTTGCTTGAATGATGTTACATGTAAGCTGTGATATTAATTACCTTGAGTATAAATTTGCTGACTCACTCTATCAACTACAAGTAATACTTTAGTCCCAACAGGTTCTACATAAAACTTTTCCGGTGTTATGTATCTGAAAAGGACAATATTTGTCAATGGAGATGTGTCAACGGACTTTTGTGAATTAAATGCATGTTTGTCAAAAAGGAAATATGAAAAGTACTCACAAATACAGTTTGTCATATACGTCTGTGTGCAGCTTCATGATGCCACTTAAAAATCCTGAGATTGTGTTATACAAGAATATAAACTTGCAAGAAACGAAATGCAATGAGGGAAAGAAAATAAACTACGGTAACAATAAGAATCGTAAACTATACATATGCACGGAATAGAATACGATGAAAACTTTAGCTACGAATTAGTTATCAAACCGTTGTCAACTAAATATTTGAACTGGCATTATCGAAATCTGTCAAACTCGAAGTAACCTCCATCCGCGCAAATTTATTTCTCCTTGGCGGCACGGTAAGTATATTACTACACTACACAGTGCTGCTACTGCACGACTGCTGCACGACTTACAACGAGTGCTGAACTTTTTGAGATCGCCATGGTAGCCAACGTCTCAGTAAGGATGCTCTTATCACCACAGACGAGATAGAAAATAGACTTATCATCTTATGGGACTTTGTGTCTCATATTCTAACATACCGATCGTGCAAACAATAGAGATTTTTTGCTGCCCTCTACGTTATGAGAACGGTGAATTCGTGAATTACAGTAGAAGCCCAATAATTGAGTGTCCGTTAATTGATCACTAGGAATGCCCCTCGCTCCAACGTATCCCTCGACAAGTTGAAAATTTGAACAGAAATATAGCCACATTCCTTAACATTTCCTCTACAAAATATGAATCTTCGAGCATGGTTTTTCTTATCAGTTATGCCTCGTCTGTGGTGCTGCGAAAAGATTATATACAGAACAAGTAAACAAGTAAAAAATAGCAGCCACAATAGGGCGCTAAACAAGTAAAAAATAGCAGCCACAATAGGGCGCTGAACAAGTAAAAAATAGCAGCCACAATAGGGCGCTAAACAAGTAAAAAATAGCAGCCACAATAGGGCGCTAAACAAGTCAAAAATAGCAGCCACAATGGGGCGCTAAACAAGTAAAAAATAGCAGCCACAATAGGGCACTAAACAAGTAAAAAATAGCAGCCACAATAGGGCGCTAAATAAGTAAAAAATCACAGCCACATAGGCGCTTATAAGTCGCAATACTAATCATTTGTCAATAATTAGAATGTCTCCTTTGTTCGCCACTCTAATTTACTGAATCCAAAAATCAAAAAAACTCCCGTGCACCTTCAATGTGCAATACGCAACACTAACTTTAGATTGATGCAGTTAGTGCAGCCACCAGGACTGTCGTGAACCACTCATTGCAGCTATTTCAGCTGCCTTGTGGTTCTGCTGTGGTTCCAGCATTGGGCATTTCATCGACCGCAACACTAAAACACACCCGATCAATTCATATCGCAACACTAATTCAACAAAAGAAAACGACTTAAATAAAAAGTAATAAGCAATCGCGCTCAGTCATTTTCGCAACACTACCCTGAAAATAAAGAAATGATCTTAATGCAAACACGATCTCATCATTCGCAACACTACTCTGAAAATATAAAAATGATCTTAATGCAAACACGATCTCATCATTCGCAACACTATTCTCCAAGTAATTAGGAAGATTAATATTGACAATTTACAAAGCTAATGCAACCCGTGATCTAGTCTCATCCGCAACACTAATTCAATCCGCGATTTTGCCCAATATTGCTGGTCGTTGGGCCGATATGACGGCCAATATACAAACTACTACTACAATTACAGGCGAGTACAGTGAACAAATATTTAGTAATGACTCCACATCCGAAGATGCAGAGCCATTCGTTGCTGCCCTCTTGAGTACACAGTTTGTGCTGGGCCTCTTCTTTTCTTCGGCGGTCCGCCCCCTGAAACCCTAATGCTGCTCGGTTGTGGACGACCAACGACTCGAAGAGTCTGTATGATCGTACCACGAGTGCAATCGAGCAGGTCGTTCGTTTCGACAATCCTATCCTTCCGACCGCGACCGCGACGACGACCCCCTTGGGGTTCGCCGAATTTGAAGAATCGAAATCGAAATCGGAAGCAGACAGCATGCTCCGTCTGGACCAGTTTCGAATCGACGCTACAAATTATCCCGGTAGCAGGACTATCACGCGAAACCTACGCGAGCCTACGCGAGCCTACCCCATCGGAGAATGTGATAGCCTGCCCCGGCCCCTACCTACTTACAGTCTACTCGCACACATTCACACACCAGAAAGTATGCTACCTGCCTACCTAGCCCTATATTTAAAAAGAATTTGGCAAAAGACAGATTCTCACCAACACACAACACTCCACGGTTCTCAAGCATGCGCCCGGGTGCAAATCAACCGGACACCTAGAGAGGACGTCCCGGGACGCCTCCGACACCCGAACGTGATATTCAACTTGCACACTCTAATGTACGTACCATTTTCCTGAAATCGACTGGCAAAGGCTAGCATCCATTGCGAGAATAGAAAAATTGTTTAAGCAATATACGTATACTTGGTACACTTTATATCGATTACGCGTTAATTTTCTCGTCTGATAGCGAGATACTCTAAACCGGTACATATTCCATGGAAATTTTATTATAAACATTGTATAAAGCAAAGGAATATGTACGACCGATACCGGAAATTGTGCGAAATTGTTCCACGGAACAATTACAGATGAAATGTTAATTGATAGAAATCTAAACGACGCAATTCCACTGCCTAATCACACACACACATAAGTGGAAAATACGTCGTGCACGGTAAGCTAACGCATTGCCAGTCGCATAGACATGTTATTATTATATGAAATCAAGTCATCGTTCCCCGTTGCTCTCGCCCAACCAAGTAGCACCTGGGCACGTGAAAGGGTTCGAGCAACGAACACGGAATAATTATCCTGAAAATCCTAACTAAAATAATTATTACTTTTTGCTCTTCTAACGGGCTACTTCTCTTTTATTCTTTTTCATTTCATTTTGCAATAAAAGTGACTCGACTTTGTATTAATAAAAATTGAAAATCAAAGATTGACTATTTATTAATATTGTAGAATTTAGTTATTAAGACTCTAAGCAAGACTCTGCAATTAGATAAATGACTCTATGTATTGAATAACCCTCGGGCGATCCCGTCGTCAAAGTCAATATAAGACATAACATAAGTGTAACAAACATGTCACTTTGACGCAGAAATCTACCCGTCGCGAAACGCCTTCTTGTACATGGTCTGTAACATCATTTTTTTTAGTGTATCAAAATACACTACTTAATTTTTATTTATGTGTTAGAGCAACGTGGTAGTACGTATTTCTGATATAATTCAGTACAAACTGTTCATCTAGAATTGCATATTCTCAAGTAAACTGATATATTATATACTGTATTCAAATAGTAAATAAATTTAAGTTATTTTCATTTAGTTATTTGTCTACAAATGACGGTATAACTGTTGAAAATAATAATTAACAGACTAATGGGTGAAATAAAATTTTATTAAATACTAATTATCATAAAAATTAACTCTAATACCAAAGGTGTCCAAATGCCGCCCACGAGCTACAAGCAATTACAAGCTTCCCCTCGTAGGTTTCCCCGACTACCGACCTCAGATTGACTCGAGCGAGTCAATCCAAGTCCCATAGTCAGGGTACCTCCGGAGGGAAAGATTGCTGCTCGCAAGAGTAGATGAACACCTCTGGGCCTGCCCTTTTTTATAGGACAGAATATAAATACTCATTCCTTCTGAGTATATACGTCGACCATACAAATATGTTTGTA